GGAGGCCAGCCTGGATAACTGAGTGTCACTCTGTCTCAAAAAATAAAGTGTCAGGGGCAGCTCAGTGGGAGAGCCCCTCTGGGGTTCAATCCCTCGTACCACAAACCCAAACCCACAAAACCCCCTGAGAGCTAGCTAGGTTGTCCTATGTCCCCTGAGAGGCCGTACCCCTTAGCCTTGAGAGGGTCCATCCAGTTCCTCAAAGCCCAGCCCGCACCTGAGCCTGCTCTCAGGATGCTCGGCTGCCCATCCACCCTCCCCTCCGCTCGTCTGTCTATTCTATTTGTCCCCCATCCACCTCTGAATCCATCTGTCTGTCTGTCCACCCGTCTCCCCATCCAGCAGAGGTCTTTGAGCACTGATCTACGGGCTGGGATATTCCCGGGAGCAGACACAGAACAAACTCCCGCCATTGTGGAGCCTGTGGTCAATGAAGAATGAGCAAGACAAACAAGTCATGTACTGTGTGAGGAGTAAGTAGGGAAAAATAGAGCTAGGGTAAGGATTCGGGCTTGGAGGGCGTCGCCGTCTCAAGAGGGGAGGGCGGGCGTGGAGATGCAAGCCTGGGATCCCAGCAACTGGGGAGGCTGAGGCAGGAGGATAGCAAGTTGAAGCCCAGCCTTAGCAATGGAGTGAGACCATCTCAAACTAAAAAGGCCTGGAGATGTAGTCCGGCGGTCAAGCACCCCGGGTTCATTCAATCCTGGTACCAAAAAGAGTGAGGGGGGGAAGATTGGGAAGGAGTTCTCACCAAGGAGCTGATAACTGGGCCTAGACTTGAAGGAGGTGTGGAGGGAGCCATGAACACATGTGGGAAGAGCACGCCCAGCAGAGGGAACAGCACGTGCAAAGGCCCTGTGGTGGAAGTGGCTTTGCAGGTATGGGGAATAGCAGGGAGGCCTGGATGACAGAGGTGGGTGAGATGGGGAAGAGCAGTGGATAAGGTCGAAGATCATGGGGGCCCATCATTCAGGGCCTGCAGCTCCTCCCACCAAGAAGCCCACATGTCCCTTCTTTAAGAAAGCCTTCCAGGTCCTCTATGCTGGGGCTGTTGGCCTCACCTGGGGTGCACCGGCAGTCTCAACAGAGCTCCTTACGGTGTGTGATTTCTCACCACCCCACGGGGCTGTGAAGATGGAGCCCTGTCTGGGCGTCCTCACTTGGTGACCCTTGGGTGTTTGGCCCTGGACCTCTGAAGGGCAGCTCTGCCGGTAAGGAGCCCAGGTCCTCTCCTCCCAGGCTTCCTGGGAAGTTCCGACAGGACAACCTGCTCCCCCAGTCCCCGGCCCTCAATTATCTTAGATAGAACACCGACACATCGCTCCTGCCCGGCTCTCCTTGTGTTACTTTCCCTTGCTGTGACAAAATCCCTGAGATAATCCAGTTACCAAGAGGAAAGGTTTTTTTTTTTTTTTTGATTTACAAATTCAGAGGTTTCAGTCTGCACAGTCACTTGGTCCTGTCACTTTGGTGGCACAGAACGTCATGGCAGGAGTGTGTCGTGGATCAGAGTTGCCCACCTGAGAGTGCCCGGTCTCAGGGTCATTCCACATCTAGTGGCTCCCTCCCCGAGCTTCTCCTAACAGGACAAGCTGGGGATGGGGTGCGAGGCCCTTGCCCTAGGCGGGCCCCTCACCCCTCGAGCTCTCTCTGTCCTCTAAGTTCAGTCCTGGGAATTCCGTTGTGACAGCCCGGAACACACTGACAAGCGGTGGAACCCGCACTTCCAAGGCCACCTACTTCAAGTGTCGGGGTGACGCGTTCTTTTAAAGCAAAGCCTGGGAGACCAAAGAGCCGCTGCCCTTGACCATGGTCATGGGGGGGTGGAGCACATGAGGCCCGGAGGCTTCTCACCTGTAAGGTCTGGACATTAAGTCTCCCCCATGAATTCTCATGTTGGGCAAAGGAGCAATATTCAGTGGTGAAAAGATGAGACCGTGAGCACCATAACCCAGCCAGTGGATTAATCCATTTGCTGGACTGCTAATTTGAAAGGGCTGCCTCGCTGGGTGGTAACTGAAGGCAGTGGGTCATCAGGGTCTGTATTTGGCTGGGCGCGGTGGCCCACAGCTGTCATCTCAGCTACCGGGGGAGGCTGAGGCAGGAGGATCTCAGGTTCCTCATCGGAGGCCACGTCTATAAGTAAAATATCCAGAGGGCTGCGGGGATGTGGCTCAGCGGTACAGCACCCGGGGTTAAGTCGCCGGCGGCATGAGAAACAAAACTCACGACACTGAGAGAAACACCAGAGCATCCTCGACAACCAGAAAAACGTCTTTAATCACTTTGTCTCCTTGGGCAGACAGAACTGAGGACAAGACCCTAAACTCCATCCTGCAGGTGGCCGAGCAGCAGGCTGGACGCACCGCCTGGCCGGACCTCGTGGGAGGTTTAGGGCACGGATCTGGAAGAAGTGGGACCCTGAGAATCGTAAGAGGGATGTTTGGGTGGACCCAGGGATGCTGAACCGAGCGAGAACAGTGAGGACGGGCACGCTCCTGCTGTGACCCACCACCGTGACACTCAGCCCTCTCTAGGGCGGCCAGGCGCTCTCTAGGTCTCACACCTGGGAGCCCCAGGAGGGCCCACCTCGTCCCCCACCCCAAATGAGCTGGGAAATGGAAAATGTTATCTGTTTATTGCTTTCTGAGGCCATCTGTCATCTGAAGTAGACACAAAACCACAAGCTTGGCACCAAAGCTTAGGGAGGATGGGTTTGGCTTAGTCTCTCTGTGTGGGCTGCAGGCTACTGACTCCCTATGACCCTCAGTTTCTTCATCTGTTGAACAGGCCCAACTACTGGCATCTCCTGGGATGGTTGAAAATTGAGACTGTGAAAGGCTCAGCCACCGCGGTGCCTCTCCTCTTTTTGGGGGGAGGGGTTTAGATATTTTACTCTCCGACCTGGAACTATCAGGAAAATTCCCATTCGGGAGATGGCGACCTCTCTGGGCAACAGGATGGCATGGGACATGGCCTTCATTATGATCCCTAGGCTGCTGGCGTTTGGGTGGACCCCCCCCCCACCACCTTCCTGCTCTGAAAAAAAAAAAAATCCCCAAGTTTTTAGGAGTGAGCGCAGTTCCTGTAATAGAGGCTGATGTCACCTCACCAGCCCTGTCCCGGGAAACTGTTCCCAGGCAGGTGAGAGGCTGGGGTCCGAGTTAGACTGTGACCTCAGGGAAAGTGGAACTGTGTGGAGTAGGTCGGGCCTGCTGGATGGGAGAGGCACTGCCCATACCAGGGTGGGGATCCTAATGCCAAAGCCACTGTCCTGCAAGGGGAACCTCAGCCACATCCGGGTGCCTCAGTCTCTGGCAGGTGCTGATGGTTAGGTTGGTCCCTAGTGACAAAGAACATCTGTGTAGCCTGCCTTTCCCATCCCTCCTGCCCCTGGGGGGGGGGGCTGCAACGTCCTCACTGCACACACTGGATTGCACGGGGGACAGCACACGCAGCAGCTCCCGGGAGCCGAGTGCGAGGCCCCCCTTCCGTTGAAATGCTCATCATTATGTTCAGAAATCTGAGAAGGACTGGGGACTGGGTCTAGCTGGCCGGACACCCCTGGGGCGGGTGGGTCCTGGGTAGGAAAGGCACCTGTGTGGACTGGACAAAGAAAGGGGGCCCCCCTCCCCCAGGTCAGACCCAGCAGGAGGAGAGCGCGAGGCTTCAGATGGACAGCTCCCAGTGGAGAGCGGGCAAATGCCCCTTTGCTCCTGGAGCGAAATGGGTCAAGAGTGGGGTGTGGCGGGGAGGCCGGGCAGGAGGGTAGCACCAGAGGCTGAACTGGGCTGCGGGCCAAGGGGGGGGCTCCAGGTCAGGGTGGGGATGTTGCTACGAGCCCATTGGGACGACCCAGCCAGTCCTCCTGGGCCCAGGGCCTCCATATTCAAGTACTGAGTGAATGTCTCATGGGCACGTGGCCATTGTGGCCAGTCATCTGCTGTCAGAACGTGGTGGGAAAGGACCCTAGGTTCAGGCAGGGATGGGTCGGGGTGGGGCTGCTTCCTCCGGGAGCCACCCGGCTCCCCTGCTCCTTGAGACTCTGCTGGTCCTGGGGGGCCTCCCTCAAGTTGCTGCTGCAGGGCCACCTCTGTGGGTAGGCTGCAGCGTGCAGGGCCACCCCATCCTGTTGTCCACAGCCCCAGCACTGGCTCACCGAGCTGGAGGGAACATGGGGAGGACGTGTGGGAGGGGTTGGGGTCCTGGAAGCCCTGGTCCAGAGCCCCGGGACAGGAGGGGCAACGGCGGTGCGGCTGGTCTACTTGGAGGCCTGGGACTTGCTCATTTAGCGTCTTGACCCAGGAGTGGGGTGTCACCGCTGTGTGGGACACGCTCAGCTGAGCCCCTCCTGCCAGCCATTTCTTTTGTGAGGCCCAGGGCGTTTTTCTGGCCCTTTGGGAACAGAGCCGAGGAGCGCGTGGAGGAACGGGCCACCTGGGCTCTCCTGGAGGCCAGAGCGAGAACTTCGCCACCTGGCCCAAGGTGAAGGCCTGGGAGGCAGGGGATGCTTAGGACAGCGGCCACCGAAGGCTCACGCCTATGACTCTCCGTGGTGGGGGTTGAGCGGTGCTAAACGGAGGGGCCCCCCAGGAAGGCTGCTGGGCCTTGAAGTCGCTGCAGCCAGGGAGGAAAGTGGGGGTGTTGGTGCCCAGGCTGGGAGACGTGAGGCAGTGAGGGGAGAGGGGCCACCAGCCAGGCCAGCACCAGGGGAGGAGTCACCAAGGCACCCCAACACCCACCCCGACCGGAGCCGCGGCATTGGAGGCAGGGAGGCACGGGGACACACCGGAGCCCCACACACCCCCAGAGGAAGGGCACGTCACATCCGAGGATTCACTGATGACTGTCCCCTCAACTCAAGAGGAACTGGATTCCTGGGTCACCCTCAGCTCCATAGAGGAGCAGGAAGGGACTTGACCTTTGTGGGGAACAGGGCACAAGAGACCAGGACCCGCGCCCTAACCAGCCCTCAAAGGGAAGACTCAGGGTCCCCTGAAGGGGGGGGGTACCATAGACCCAAGTCACGCTTGGCGCGCCTCCCGGGCTGTCACCAGGAAGGCCGGTGTGGGTAGGGGCCCTGGGACTCAAAATGGCCAGCAGAATGGACCTGGCCACAGCGGCCGCCCCCCAAAGAGAACGAACGCTCTGGTGTTGGCATCAGTGAAAGAAACCTCCCGGCGGAGGTGCTCCTTTCTCTTGGTGACGAGGACGTGGGGGTGGCGCTGGGGGTCAGATGCCCTCCTCCAGCTCCAGCTCCCAGGCGAGCTTTCTGAGAGCGCCTGGACAGGGAAGAGGCCAGCAGAAGACCAGGCACCGAGGAGAGCCAGGTGAGCACCCACGGCTCCTCCCCGAGCCTGCCCACACCCACCCGAGCTCAGTGCGAGGCTGTGCACATGCGCAGAGCCGCCCCTGGGCCAGCGCTCCGTCCACACCCTTCACGCTCACACCAGGGTTGGGGGGGTGCCCCTCGCTCTGTCCCCCACCCCCCTGCACCAGGGCACCAAAGTTCTGCAGAAGAGACGTGGGGGGAGGGGCGGGGAGTGCTGGTGGCAGACGAGGCCTGGTGCCACCGCCCTGCGAGGTTGGCACTCGAGGTTCTTTCTGGCTCCTCTCGGCTCTGGGAAATGCCCTCCTCGTTCGTAGAAAGGACACAGCACCAGGTGTGGGAGGGGGTCCCACGCCAGCCTCCTGCTGAATCACAGAGCAAGGACCCCCTGGCTGGCCCCGGGTCCTGTCGCGCTGCCCACTGAAGGCGGTGGGGACCCTCTTTTGCCCTGATCACGGGATCACGGCCCCTCCTCCTCGGCCAGCCATCTTCAGAAGCCTGGACCCAGGGCCCCAGATGGGCGTCCTTACAAAAATAACTCTGAGCCTGTCCCCAGCGGGAGCAGGTTCCTGAGAGCACACGGGGCGGGGCCAAGTCCGCGCGGAGGGGCCGGCAGGGGGCGCTCCTGCCCGCGGCCGGGGCTATGGCTGCAGCCGCTCCAGGTACTGCGGCAGGGGGTTCTCCTTGACGTACTTCTGGATGTACCAGCACGTGAGATGGGCCTTCAGGTCCTCCTCCACCACAAAGTCCAGGGCAGCCTGGGGACCGCGGAGAGGAGAGAGTGGGTGGTCAGAGCCCCCAGCCTGAGAAGGTGGCGGTCGCCCACCTCCTCGGCATCCCCCATGTCCTACAGCAACCCTCCCCCTTGGCCCACGTCAGGGGGTCTCTTTCCAGGTGACTCGGGATAACCCCCTTCCCAAGCCTGAGCCAGGAAGCAGAGGCTGTGGTGGGTGAGGGGGAGCGGGCAGGGGGTCCAGCTGAGCCTGGGAGCAGGCCTTGGGGGAAACTGAAGGCCATTCTCGGCTCCAGGAGCAATCGCCCTTAGGAAGCTCAGACCTACGGTCCAGGCAGCCTGAGGTTTCAGGGGCTTTGAGGACCAACAAAATCGGAGGATGGGTTGGGAAAGGGCCATGAGCCCACTGACCTGGCTGTTCATCCATTTGTCCCCCCCACCCTCCAGAACTTACTGGGCAGCTACTATGTGCCAGGTCTGGGGCCCTAGGACAGAATTAGGCTGTGGTAACCTTGGAGATGTGTCTGCAGCAGGGCTCTGCCCATCAGGACCCTGGGCCCCAAGTGACTGCCACTTCCCTCAGGAGGGCCAGGGAGTGTAGAGTGCTGCCCAACACCCCTACTGCCCACCGTGACCCGCTGGCCATGAAGACCTGTGGGTCTATACTCTGGCGAAGAAGCATGCAGCAGTCAGTCGCCAGGAACAGCCTGACTGAGTGGGAGGGTAACTGTCCCCAGGGACCCCCACCTGCCGATGACCCTACCTTGGCGAGGTGTTTGGCAATGCCACGCCCGCGGTAGGCATCCGGTACCTCGGTGTGTTGCAGGTCCACGATCCGTTTGCCCACATACTCATAGAGCAGGACGGCCCGGTCATGACACCCTGAGGATGGGAGAGGCAAACAGGTTGAGGCCCGGTCAGCCACGGCCAAGAGTCCTACAGGGCCCAGGAGAGGACACTGGGCCCTTTTTACTTTTTGAGACAGGGTCTTGACTAAGTTTTTTAGCCCTTGCTACGTTGCTGAGGCTGGCTTTGAACTTGGGATCCTCCTGCCTCAGCCTCCTGAGCTGCTGGGATGACAGGTGTGTGCCACAGTGCCTGGCTCAGTCCCAGTTTTTAGTTACACGTCCTCCGTCTGTCCACCTAACTATCCTTCCATCCGCTCACCCATCTATTCTTCCATCCACCCACCCACTCACGCAGATAGCCACCCTTCCGTCCTCCCATCATGTGGTCTATGGAGCCCTGAGAATGGTTTCAATGCTGGGCATAAAGCAAAGGCCAAGAGACCGGCCTTCCACAGCGTGACGTGTCACGGGGTGGGAAAGAGCCCTGAGGAGTGCTAGGTGGGGGACAGTGTGCTGGAGGAGGAGGAGGAGGCAGGCACAATGGCTATGAGGCAGTGGTGGCCCCGTAGGGACGGCGAGGCCAGGTGGCTGGGGTAGAACAGGTGATCGGGAGGGTGGAGGAGAGAGGGACAGGGAGGTGACAGTCCTGCAGAGCCCAAGCCATCACGAGACGGGTCAGGAAGACGATGCACAGGAGGTGATTCTCGACTTCACTGGGGAACAGACTGGGGAGACAGGAGCAGGGAGACCAGTGTTAGCTGCGCTGGTCCTGGTGGGTGACACTGGGGGCAGCCTGGGGAGGAGGAGAAGAGGTGGGACCCTGAGCTGCCCTGAGGAGGATCCTGGCAGGATCGAGTGCTGCTCCATTCATTGGTTGGTCCCTTCATTTGTAATGGGAGTTGAACCCAGGGCTGCTTGGCCACCGAGTTTCATCCCCAGCCCTCTTTACTTTTTAATCTTAAGTTTCCCAAGTTGGCCTTGAACTCGAAGTTCTTGTGCCCGAGCCTCCCATGTGGCTGGCATGTGACAGGCATGTGCCCTCAAGGCTGTCCCAAGCCTTCCAATGTCAGGGAGCTCTTGTACATGAAGGAGATAAATCCACTGGGTGCGGGGAGGGTCAGGGCCATTATGCCAGGGGCAGTCGGGAGGAGCCCTCACCTCCCTGAGCTGAGCTGTGTGAACATGAGCAGGAAATGGCTGAGGGAAGAGAGGAGGAAGGACAGGTAGAGGGCTTGGCCAGTGTGAGGTTGGAAGACACCATTCTTTGGCTCCCCCCCCCCAAAAAAATATTAACATCAAGTTGTCTTTCTCCTCGTTTTAAGAGCCAAACGTATTTCACGTGTTTTTCACTTGAAAGGAAAAAAAAATTGCATTTTACATGGCTTAACGTTAAAGCACCAGAGAATTTGCTCCTAAATTCTGCTTGGGTGGCCAGCCTTGCTGTGCTGCTAGCTGTCACAAAGGGAAGAAGAGATCAAATGAGCCACCCAGGGTCCTAAAAGCAAATCAGACCCCCGAACAGGATCCCACCCCCATTTGTCAGGCTTTCTGGCCCCTGAAACCCCTTGGGTCTCCCCAACTCCAGGAGGGAGGCTCCCCAGCCAGCTCCCAGGTTCCTCGGGCAGCTGAGCAAAGTGCGACCCACGTAGAGTCAGGGGTCACACAGCAGGTTCAAGGTGAAGCGGGGACCAGGCATCTGATTCCCAAGCCAAGTTCATTCCCCTGCCCCACCAAGGCACACCCCTGGCTTCCTGCCACTAAGCCTTTGCCTGGGCAGTTCCTGGTCCAGAATGCTCTCCCCCAGCCCATCCTCTGCCTCAGGTGCCGGGCACTGGCGCCCCCTCCTGGCCTGACCATTGTTCTGTGGGCTATGCCTACCGCCCTGGCCAATGCCCATCGGCAACTTCCATGGCCACCTCTGCCCTAGCTGTACCCCACAGGACTTGGTCCTCAGGGCTGCATCTGCTGGGCTTAACTCCGCCCCCTTGGGACAGGCAAGCAGCCAGGAGAAGCTATTTGGGACTGACCTGATCCCCGGGACAGCTGCCCACCTACCCTATTTAATTACTCCAAATTCACTGAGGGCCTACTCTGTTCAGGCAGAGTATGGGGTGCTGAGCCGTGAACAAAACTAACAAAATCCTCCTGCGTGGAGGCTCTGTTTCAGTAGAGCAGACAGGTAATAAACAATAATTATTACAAATGACTCAGGATTCTCAAGTGATGGGTATCTGTGTGCTATTCTAGGACATTATAGCAGAGAAGGGGCAGGGATTTGGGGGTGGGGGGCGCCGCTGTAAAGAGAGTGTACAGGGGAAGTTTTTTTCTTGTACAAAGACTAGAAGGAATGAGGGGAGATCTAGAGTATGAACAGGTTAAGTAGTGAGAAGAGCAGGTGCAGAGGTCCTGGGGTAGGATATCCGAGGAACAGCAAGGAGGCCAGAGTGGCTGAACCTGAATGAAGCAGGGACAAATCAATACCACCCTCCTCCTTCCTAGGAAGACAGAGATTCAAATCGAGATCATAGCTGGTTCTCAAAAGTTAAAGGTCAGGGCTTGGGCGTGGCTCAGAGATACAGTGCTGGCCAGGCCTGTGGGAGCTACCAACTGACCAACTAGCCAAATAAAGGCAGTTAAAGCCCCGCTGCCAATGGGAACCTTCCCGTGGCTCTTTACTCCAGTGCCCTGTGTAGCATCAAAGGGCCCAGCAAGTCGTCAGGGAAGGCAGTCACAGGGAGACACAAAGGCACAGAGGACCAGGGGTGCTGGGGGGAGGGGGTCTTGGTGATTGGGGCTGGAAACAGTCCCCCATGAGGCCAGGTGCTGTATTCTCCACCCTGCAGGGTGCTGGGGGAGGCCAGAGGCCTCATAGACTCTTGGGGGGCCTCGGGCTTCCTATCTGCAAATCAGGATTCTGGGACCCTGGGTGATCCTGCTCTTTGCAGAAAGATGGACATTCAGCCCTGGCGGAGGGAGGGAGAGGGAAAGACGGACACTCACCGGGCCCCTGGAGTATCCACCTGCTTGAGAGTCAAAGCCAAATTCATATAAATTCACACTCCCGAGGCCCTGCGCCCCCTGCTCACCCTGATCTCAGCCCCTCTTCCGACCTGCCGGCCCCTCCACTCTGCCCTGCTGCTCTGAACGCGCACCGGGCAGCACGGGGCCTTTGGACGTGATGTTCCCTTGTCTTGGAACATTCTTTGCTGCGGCCGCTCAGTTTCTGGCTAGTTTCTTTCTCCGTTTCTTGGGAGGAGACCTTCCTGGACACCTGATTTGAAACAGCAGCCTCGCTCCTCCACACCCGCCAATCTTCCCTGCGCCCCTGCTCCCCAGAGTGCTACTTGTCCAGGAGACTTCACGATTTATCCATCATCCACCTTCCCCCTCGACGCTATCAGCTCCATGAGTCCCTAGCACCTTGAAGGGCGCTGGCACATGATAGGTGCTCAATAAAGAGTTGTGGAACAAATCCCAGCTCCTCCAGTATCATTTATCATCTGTAAATGATACTCAGAATCAGAGCTCACAGGAAGATAAACAGCCCAGCTCTGCCACAGGGAGACCCTGAGGAATAAGCCTTCTCTGGAGGCCAGGGAAATGACAGGCCCAACATGGTCCTGCACTGCCAGCCCCCGACCGCTTGACAGCTCAGACTCAGTGCCCACATCTGTTAATGGGCACAGGGGCACCAGCCTAAGGTTTCCTTATAGGCACCAGGAGACCCTCTGAGTCTGTGCCCCTCCAGCTCGGGCAGGCCAAGCTGGACACACACATCAGCCCTCAAATATTCCCAGCCCCAGGCCACCTGGACACCCTGAGGCCAGCCCTGGGCTGGGCTGTGCCTATATTGGTGACTTAAAAAGGAGCTGCCAGCTTCCTTCTGGGAGGATCCCTGGCCACACCTATAGTTAGCCACAGGGCAGTAAGTTCCAGAAGGGGACAAGTGGAAGAATATGGTGGGATGACAGCCAGCCCCCAGCAGGGTTGTCCTTTGCCTGTAGCCATTTGGGGAAAAAAAAAATCTCAAACATCCCTTTTTCTTTCTCTCTGCAGGTCTACTGGGCCTCCTGAGCCAACCAGGGGAACCAGAACCCCCCCTGGAAGTCAGAAAACCTCAAAAGAGAGGATCTGAAAAGCCACAAGGCTCTCCCCACAAAAGTGGCCGGAACACTGAATGTCACTGCCAATTGGGCCACAGCCAGAACCACAGCAGAAAGACTCGCTCCTACGAGGGAAGACTGTGTGACAGGGTCAGCAGGGTCCAGATCTGAGCTTTCGCCTCCGGCCCCAGGTGACGCTGAGCAAGACACTTCCTGCAGCTCTAAGCTCAATTTGCTTATCTGTAATGTAGGGTAGTGTGTCATCACACACTTCAGGGACATGGTGACAGTTGCATAAGAAGCCCATGGAAGCGGTAGGGCCTAGCTCCATGCTCAGGATGTCCAAACAGAAGTCCCAGGCCCCTCCTGCAACGGCCACAAGTGCCCAGTGGCTGGAGCCAAGCAGAATGCTGCTCTGCTGCGACCTCAGCTCAGAGGCTGACCACCTCTGGGCCTCCATCTTTCCCTCTTGGAAATGGGCACAGTGGCCTCTAAGAGCCTTGGGCAGTATCAGAGAGAGCTGAGCTGGGGGTGGGATGTGGAGAGTTCACGGTCCTCAACTTCATAACCTTTCTTTCCAACTTCTAGGGGGAAGGGGATGTGGGCTGGTAAAAAAATCTCTCTACCAGGAATCAAGGACTTGACCTTGTTTTCTGGTTAATAATAAATAATAATAATAATAATAATAATAATGCTGCTCAGGGGGCTGGGATTGTGGCTCAAGTGGTAGAGTGCTCGCCCTGGCACGGTTGAGACCCGGGTTTGATCCTCAGCACCACATTAAAAATAAATGAAGGCATGGTGTTGTGCCCATCTACACCTAAAACATAAATATTAAAAAATAATAAAAAAAATAGGGGCTGGGGATGTGGCTCAAGCGGTAGCACGCTCGCCTGGCATGCGTGGGGCC